TTTAATACCCAATCTTCATAACATAGTGTTGCAAATATTTCCCCCGTAGTCATTGAAGTCAAGACAATGTTGCGTATGTTACAAAGTTTACCTGGAAAATCATCTGAACATCTTCACTAACTACTTTGACATCGGACAATCCAATAATTCTTTGCCAAACATGATTTTATCAAGCACAGCATTTCGCGTTTCATGGCCTTAACAAAAGACATCAACGCGCATGCCTGTGTTGTGTAGAATCCAATAACGATATTTATCAATCAGAGATAGAAATTGTTCTCTATTATAATTAATAGTACTTTAAATATCAAGATAAAATAAGTAAATGAACTATAACATAACCTTTTACTCACTACGACATGTACTCGTGGTATGTAATGAAGCAACTGTAACTTTAATTACCAATTACCTACTAGTTGCTAGTAAAATGCCAACGAAACTATATCCTGTCTTCATTAATGAGAAAAGGATATGAAAAGGTATGCTGTTTATGGTATGGTGTCACTTCACGTAACAAACCGAGAGACAAGTTCTGTTAATAAAAAAAGTTTTCCTTCAATTTCTGAGTTGAGAAATCAGTAATAACAATTGGTTAATATTTTAATACGGTTTAATAAGCTAGTGACACCCCTAAAATTTGCAACGCTTGAAAAAGGCCGTTAAGCTGTGCCTGTTATTTCATAAAACCTGTACTTATACCTTAACATGCAAATAAAGAGTTTGAGTTTGAGTTAAACACCTAATGTAAAAACTGAGAACCTCATTTTTGAAGTCGGTTAATAAATTGGCAATTGTAAACCGCAGACAAGAACTGAAAATTTCATATCAAAAGTCCTACCGTCACACTCACAACCACGAGACACATGACATCTAAGTAGGTACCTAGTTTGTACATATGTGGCAATGCTGGGTGAATTTTCCTGATTGCGCGGCCGAGCCTTAATTGACGCTAAGTGTGTTACGACAGGCACCGTGATGAGGTCGGTGTCTGTGCTCGCAGATTCTTGCTGGCAGGCTCAGCAGGTGTTGCAACATCACTCTACTTAGGTGTGCTACCAAAATCTGGTTTGTTTGTCAATTTTGGCACTAAATAGTCCATGTTGTTGATTTATGTACATGAGTCACTTGTGTCAGAGTATCTTAAAGATGTTATTACATTATTCAAATTTGTCATATACCTTTATTTTTCTTCAGCCAGAAACTTAGTCGTAAAAAATAAAATACCCAACATTTGCCATCAAGTTTTTAACTGAAATGTATTCTACATCTGCTAAAATGCTACAAAATCTAAAACACTGTCTTTCATGTAAACAACGAACATGATAAAACCTTTTTTCATCACGAGAAAGTAACAGAGAGGTCGCTAGTATAGCTTTTGGCATCATCTCTAATAACAATTCTAATCATTGATCAAACTATTACCAAATCTTACCTTATCAGCCCTTCGTCTAATCATAATTGCAATCACTCGTATCTCCAAACTCCAATACAAATCAAATCAACCTTTAACCAAAGGTTAACTAGCAGATAGCGTCTTAGCTCATTTATAACCATGTGCGTTTGACCTTAAGGTCATAATGAACAAAAGTGCGTGTCTATTATTTAGCCAATGAGCAGATTATACTCAATGCATTGTGCTCATTGCATTGGATCATAATCGCAGATTAATCATTAGTTTTGTTGCATTGTAAACAGTAATTGACAAGGTTTTTTTGTCTTGTATCATTAAATGTCATCTGGATAATTGGCAACACGTCATTTTATTTATTTATTTATTTATTTATTTATGTACACACATACAATATAAAGGACAACACATACATAAAATTAAAGTACAAAGGTTTTAGTTAGCGATATGGGTACTGTGTAATTTGTTTTGTATTTGTTTTGATCTTAAATGATTGTAAAGTTACTTAATACGTATAGTTTCTCGGGACGGTTGATTAATCGAAGTTTGTCATACATATTTAAAGTATAAAAACAATACATCTTTTACGATATATTCTCTTTAAGAAGAGAGATAAAAGGCCGCGGTTAATTGATATCACATTAAACGTAACATTCACTCTTCAAGATCTCGACACTGTTTAAAGTAGGTTTTATTGAGAATTTTAATCTCACAAATATCGGCGATGCAACTTGCCTAGTCATTTTATTTTCATTTTCTATTAAACCTTTATCAAATTCAGATTATAGCATTAGTTAATATGAATGATTTGCAAATTTTATTTGTAGTACATTACGTAACCATCGAACTATCGAAGTAATATAACAGCAACGTTAGTATGTAATGTAATACGTACGGTCCGAACATTTGCATGACCGTGGCTAATCTGATAACTGGGGCTCTTATTATACACTGTGTTACGTATACTGTGAACATAATATGATTTGTAAAGTAACACTAAACATGTAAATATAGAGATCACATCGATTGAATTGACGGGGGTTACATTTTTAATTTACAAAGTTTATTTATTTTATTTATTTACACTTATTGTATACAATGGCGGACTTAATGCCTAGTGGCATTCTCTAACAATCAACCTTAGGGTGATGCAGAGAGACACAATAGCAGGTGTAAAGTTTAATGTTAATTTTAAAAATATATTTGTTCTTTTGGGATTGAAAAAGAACAAATATAGTTTATATTTGAAATGGGTAGGCAAAGCCTGATAGAAAGATATGAATGGAAATAAAGTGTGGAACAGAGTGGCTATCCACTCTTTTAATGAAAAAGAACCGATATTTATTAAGAGTATAATCAGGAACACTACTTAGTAAAAAAATATATGCATAAACTTCACACAAGCACTTAAATGTACAATTATTTCTTTCATTATTAACTCTGACATTGGCAGGAGCTACACAATATGTCTTGTTTCACCGACTAATTATGTAAGTCCCACAATTATGAAGTACACGAAACGATACATAATTATAAGAGTATAATGAGACCTTACAATGCAGCAAACTGAGAACTGAGAAATGTTATCGTATCAATGAATAGGATATTGAATTATGATGTAATCTGCAGCAACTGAATTGTCAAAGTCTGTACTTCATGAAGGGTATATAACCTGGGGTTCTTCAAGGCCCGAGTGAATAGGTTGCTTATGGGTCGACGTGCTCCATCATAGGCCGTATCATGGCGGGATAGTGGTCAAACGTCGAACAATAAAAAAAAACTGAAATTGATGTAACCAATAATACTGAACATTTCGTTCAGGTATTGCAAAATTTTTTTAATTACAATAATACACATACAATTCATGTTGAAACTATATTACATATACAATAAACATACATCATAACCCACGTTATCTCTTTCATCAAACCATGTAGGTACAATGACACACAAAATAACAAATATGATCCTTTTTGACACCAACCACTTGTGACGGTGACTATACACCCGGCTACATGATCTCGCTGTATATTATCTTTATGCACATTCTACGGTCAGTTTGTACTGGTTATGCATAGCTTAATGTGTATTGTGTAGCCGTTTGTACCTGACATTGCCCGCGGGGATTGCGTGCGACCTTGTGCGTATGCGCTTTGACCGGCGCCCGCGCACGAGTTTTCGTTGACGCGTCATTAGTGCAAAGATTGCAAAAGTTATAATTAAAGGTTATGCGATCGCTTGTTAGTAAGCTTGAAAGTTCATATTTATTTTAAAAGCGGTCTTTTTAAATAATAATGCAGTTTCCATAATTTTTGTTCATTTATTTACCATTATTAATCTAGCCTCTTGATTATCGTTAAAGATAGCTTTTGTTTTATATGTAAATGTCTATTCTTCGCAAGTTGCCACTACTTTAAACCAGTGAATACGACTCTATTCCCAGATTGCCACATGCCATACTTTAACTCAACAAAAAATATCAATTTAAACAACGTTTCCTTCATTAACTGCCAGTCCTAATACCTGCAACTCACGAACCAATAAATTCCTAAGATTGTATACAGCTTAACTTTATGAAATACTAGACATGAACAGTTCACAATGCAACAATTCATTAGCATACTGGGACAGTCACCAGTTCAATCCATTCATTGATAAAACATCAATGTCAAGGCATTTGTTCAGATGAATTAATGAATACTAGATTGATACACGATATAGTTTCGTAATCATTATAAATCAAGATTTTTTAAACGCAACCTATTTAGAGTTTTCTTCTGTGATGTGGTTGTGACTACAAAAATACAAATTAAGATTATACAACAAGTTCATCACATCCAGACCCGAACTTATAACCTGGACCATAAAAAGAGTTACACCTTAAGTAGCAGTTAATTGTCCAGGCTTTTTTTATTGGGACAAGCCCGCCACAATCTCCCAAAACCGCTGCAACTCCTGTAAGCCAGGGTCTACAGTAGATACAACCATGAAAACACCGGAACACTGAAGGGGATATGAATAACTGTCTTGGTTCTCGCAACGAAGTGAATCAGAAGATATTATAAGAGAAGAAGAAAAATAATTGCCCAGTCTCTGTGCGAACCGCCAAATAGATTCTAGAATCGAGAACAGTGGTGGTTTTAGTCCCTAAAGGGTCATTGCCCACTCCATTCATTATCTCGTTTAAAAGAAAAAAAAGTAGATACTAGTGGATTACAGCTCTATCGTAAGAACGTCGAGATTATCCGACCCACTCATGCGCAGAGTGCACAATAGAACAGCTAAGACGTTGAATCTGCAACTATTGACATTTCCGCGTCTTTGCAATGTCGACATTTCTTGTCCATTTCTTTTCCTTTCTAGCTGAATTTAACCATGGAAGCTTTACTTCAAATCTTATTGCTCAGTTCGTACCAACTGAAAATACATAAGTAAGTCGTTTTCTACCAAACTGAAGCCGAAATCAAAATCACACAACACTTAAATCATAGTTAAAAAAAAGTCCTAAAATTATCTTAAAATATCGTATTGAGAACTATTTTAATGAGATAGCTTAGATAGCTTTTATTTAAAAGTTCATTCTCCTCTTCAGATGGCGATAACATGTGATTGCCCGATGATGCAGCCGGGCCCGACGCTGGCATCCACCTGCGGAGGAGGCGCCTTCATGCTGTTCATGGGACTGCTCGAAGTGTTCCTCAGGAGTCAGTGCGATCTTGAAGACCCGTGTGGAAGAGCTCAGGTATGTAGAATTTAATATATTCCTTTATTTATTTTAGATGAGTACCATACTGACTGCCTCCTTGGCCGAGTGATCGCAAGTTATATTGCCGTTTTTTTTAAAGCTCATGGAGCACGGAGTCTGGAATTTTCCCGCGGTATTTGGCAATACGCTTACCCCCGGACTCATTACATAAAAAGTGAAAACTAGATGTTACATGGTACAGTGGTATCAAGTGCCGTAATATGCACCTCGGCCTACCCCTTAGGAGATAAAAGACGTAATGTTATATTATGGGTACCGTAATAATTTGGTCTATTAAAGTTACGAAAAAGAACTGTTTGAATGAAGAATTTACTGCCAATACCAGATGGCACTTCTGTCGAATAAGGGCCTGAGATTCCTGAGAGGCTACAAATTACCACTAAATTGGACGAAGTTTTAATTCGCTCTACGAATAAGTTAAAGCAAGTTATCTCATGTACCTATTATAGAATAATAAACAGCCACATTTAGGAGCAAAAACCCATCTGTGAACAAACTGATTGACTGCGTAATAGTCGATGTATGTAGAGAGCTCCACTCCATTATGTATGTTTGACATGAGCTCGACGTTTCTGGCGTATCTATTCATCAGTGTTTCCGCGATACACTGATACACGTGCGGATCTTATCGATCCTCTTGATGTGAAGAAATAGTGCGAGATATTTTGTTGGAAAATTATGGTTATATATGTTACAATGCGTAATGTATTGCGAATTTTTAAGTTTGGAAATCTTTACTTACACTGTACTTAATGAACTTAGACCGGTATTAAATAAATAACTAAGTAATAGACTAGAGTACTTTAAAATTTTCAATCAAAAATGTTTGATCTGGTATAATGTTTGTCTAATGTAGTTTTAATGAATTCCTCTTATATTATTGAGACATACTTTATGTTCCTACATGTGTGCCTTTCATAATTTACTTCCGACAAATAATTCTCACTCTCACGCAGATTTGACACCGTTTTTTCAGACATTCAAAGATATTTATTACTTCAATGTAATTAATAATATTGCTTCATATCCTTACACATACACAAACTTACGTTACATTAGCTTTTCCCCGCGACTTCGTCCGCGTATAATATGAATTTTAGAACATAACATTTTTTTTTGTTTCCATAATAAAACTAGCACGTGTTATTCCTTATTACATCAGCTACCTGCCAATAAAAGTCTTGCAAAATCGGTCCAGCCTTTCCAGAGATTAGTCAGTACAAACAGACAGACAGGCAGATAAAAATTGTAAAAATGTTATTTAAAGGTATGTGTATCGTATGTATATTCATATGCATGTAGTAAAAATCGGTTATTTTAATATTACAACCGGACACTCCAATTTTATTTATTGATATTAGTTGTATAGATGTAGTTTATGAATATGCCTGTTATTTAATACATTACAGAACGTTCGATAGCTTTCCCAACTTCTTGCAATTGTTGTCATAATCTGCATTTAATTTTTTCCGCAGTTAAGAGAACATCGTTATCGTTAAGTCATTTTGTAGTCACGAAACGTTTCGTATCACGATCACGATTGCTTTCCGTCATCTGGGGCTGATTGTCTTAATAATGATATTTTGTTTTTATTGGGATTAGAGATGTGGGGAAGATAACTGCAAAACACTTTATCATAACCAGTGTCAAATGTCTGTACATGTATATTATTTTTAAATTTTCATGGCATTTCACCTACCTATAAGCTGAGCAACCCTAACCAGATAGCTATCCATTATATTTCAATCGTAAGAAAAACTTAAATGCGCCAGTGCTATTTAATAGCCCAAAAATACTACGTGAATATGAAAATATCTTAAATCGTATTCCGAAAAATTCTGACGTCGATATTTATTCAGATGTAGTTTCCTTTTCATATTTAAACAAATCAAATTAATAACTAGACCTAACACTTATCACTGCCAGTCAAGCAGTACCTACCAAACTACTAATTAATTTATAATGTCAATATGTCTAAAGTAAAGCCTTGGTAACAAATTGCACATTTAACTTGTCAAATGACATGCACAAACATGTAATTGCATAGGAAGTGAACCTGTCGCAGCCGTTCAGGATACGTCGATGATTAAGATCATGTGTTAGACATTCATAATTATTCATATAGCGTACTTACTGACATCCACTGAGCATATTTCACCATTTGCGCAAGTTCAATCGTATGTTTAATTTAAATTAAACTATAAATTACTTCTAATTTCCACAAAAACAAAAATTTTCAGCGTCGATAGATTAGAACAAATAGAATTTGGTCTACTGATATTTTTTAGGGATTTTAAGTTCACCAGTTGTTATTCTACTCATTGTTGGGACCTCAGCCATCGCAACGAGGACGTCGAGCACGGGTAGCTTGCTCTCCGACCAGAACCAGACCTGAGCGTACAGAGTCATCAGACCACCACAGATAGAGTCCAATAGGGCTGATACCTTACCCGGAGGACTTAATAGATTACCCGGGCTCCGGCTCGAAATGCAAGAGTAGGAACGGGGTGGTTTTTAGTCAGTAAAAGTCTGACATTCTCTCTCGCCTCACCCGGTCTGAAGAAGTCATTCGATTCGATGATTTTCCCCATAAAAAAAGAAATAATTGTTGGGACAACTTTAAAAATTGCATATTCTTGTAATCTCCGAAAGGGTAAGCTGAGCGCACATAGCTAAGCCCTTCTACCTTCTAAAATCTCGTTTTACGGCGATTATTAACGAAGAACTCTGACAGTACATAATTCTCAGATAACTATCATAATTATGCAAAGTTCTTTTCAATTATGTGTTTATGCCTTGGTTATGTAAGTATATAGTAATAAGTATACTTCTCATCAGAAATGATTATATCAATAACCATGTACATTATACATGAATACCTATTAAATATAATGTAGATAGAATCCGATAAAGGTGAACAGGTAATTTGCAAATAGGAAGTGCTTGTTAGAAAATGACTTACGCGTCTGAAATAATAACGATTAAAATATTAACACACTATTTGTTTAGTTCGTTCAATCTTCTAAACTAAGCTATTTATATAAAAATGGCGTCCTAATGCTATTCAATTTAAACACTAGTTAAGGCTTATTGAGACTACCTCTAAAGTGCCAGTTGATTGAGAATCTTAACTTGTCTATTTGATAGAGGTAAGTGCGTTAGTCTATGGCGCCCTATATAGATAAAAGACAAGTGGATAAATAAATTCAAGTAGGTCCTAAGTAATCAGAGGTGGTAAGTACCACCGGTAATAAATAATACGGGCACTATTTTAGCTAGTAATTTAGTATCTAAAGTATTATTAAATAAAATATCATGTCTTAATAGAACTGTCACGCACCAGTTGTGCACGTACTAAGTTTCGTGTATTTTTTGCCGACCGGAATTCAATTAATTACGTCCTTTAAAACATTTTTATCACAACTTTATTTTGCTTATAAAAGGAACATTTTGGTTTGTAAATTCTATATTAATTCGATATGAATTGAATATAGAATTGCAGTTAACTATAAAAAAATTTGCTAAACACTTCGTTTATCGAACGAGAATTAAGTATATAGAAACAAATCAGTACGGTTTAATATTTATACTTATTAGATATCTGCCTTCATCTGTACTACAACTTTAATTCAGAAATGTTTGTAAAACCATAAAAATAACCGACCCAAGATAAATTGACCTACGACGATCTATAGACAGGTGGTATCTATAGACTACTTACTTGAATTACATTTTGAATTGTTCTTTTTTACATTTCTAGAACATAAATAACACAAAAAAAACTAATATGCACTTATACAAGTGCCTATTTTAATTAAATATGTGTGAGGTGAATGAACTTCGGCCATGAACGGAACAACAGTCGATTGATTGTAAAAATAATTCGAAAAATGTCAACGTCAACGCATACAGAACTTGTAATTAAAACACTAATAACATAATTATCTTGACTGCGTAGGTAGTACTAACAAGACTAGATCCTCATTCCTCAACCTTGGTAATCATACAGGACCAGTCACACAAAATGTAAAGCTCAACTGCTGCACCGTTTGTCTCAACAACGACAAAGACTGACCGCACGGTTAGTGCGATGGATGGGCAATTGGCTGCCGCACAACGTGTCGCGGGTTTTGATTCCCGCACGGAGCAACTCTTTGTGTAATCCACAGATAGTTATTTCAGGGTTTAAGTGTGATGTGTATGTGTACTTGTATATTTGTAAACGCACGCACGACACAAGAGCAAATCCTAGTGTGGTGAAATCGCTAGGAAGAAATTAATCGCTATACATATATCAAGATTACATATAGCAATAGCCTCTATCAACTCAGATCAACCTCCTATTTAATTACCAAGTAATTTCTCAAATCACTAGATGCGCTAATCAGGCTAATCTCCCATCATCTTCCCGATGAGACGACCACACAATTACAGCCAGATTGGCCACAGCTCGCCACCAAAATGAAATCGCTTCCCCATCAGATTTGCGGTCAGTTTCGGCATCGCACGGCCTTACATAACGGACTGCAATCAAAATTATTGTAATTTGTGATACAAATCGGTGCATAACTGGCGATAATAAAATATTGTTGTTATTACTTTCTTATTTATTTATTGTTTAATGAGGTTCTGCATAAAAGAAAGATTATGATCGTTCCGTTAGCGTATATGATCTTACTTTGAATTTGTAGAAAATGGGTTAAAATAAATTATGTTTAAGCTTTGCAATTTTTAAGTTCAGAAAGTAGCCAAGTAGCATTATTTTATATTGTTATGTAACATTTTATAGGAAACTCTTAATCCCCAAAAGGCCGGTAACGCACATGTAACGCCTCTGGTGTTCCAGGTGTCCATGGGCGACGCTGAGTGCTTACCATCAGGTGATCCGTCTGCTCGTTTACCGGCTTATGCCATAAATTAAAAATAATAGTAACTATTATTCAGATAGGTATTCTTACGTATTTGTGTTAAATATATTGATATCGGTTCTTAAAAACTTAAGTGTAGTCCTTGTTCTGATATTTTTATTTTCTTGACTTATAATTCTGTAAAAGGAGATTTCACTAAACACAATAATTCCAAACACCTAATGGTTGCATTCTACAAACCATATGTGAAGCAATTAGCTAACCATAGTGCCATGTGAAAAAGTTAGAAGTATTTTGCAAGGGTCACGCGAATTAATGCTATTGTTTTTAAAACTATATTTAATGTTAGTGTAAGAATTATTTATTATCCTGTAGGAGCTGAAAATGAAATACTCCGATTCACAGTGACCTTGAGGTCTCGAGTACTAGCCACATCTTAAAATCACCGTTAACTAATCCTAATGAAATTTCATTTCGTCTTCCAGTACCGTCGCCATATGGACTCGGTGTACGACTTCATAGTTGTGGGAGGAGGGTCGGCAGGCTCCGTGGTGGCTGCAAGACTGTCTGAGGTGCCGGAGTGGAGAGTATTACTGCTGGAAGCTGGTACGATACTTTCAAATATTGGATAGTCTTTTTAAGGCAAAATATCTAACTTTGTAAGTTTTGGAAGAAGGGGGAAAGATACATAATTGTCCATTAAATATTAAAACTTTGTATTTAAGTGCCATCGTTTTAAATAAGATCTAGATAAGCGTCCAGTCATCGTGCATTAAACCAATACTCCAAAGTCTATTTAATACAAATATTTCATACACACATATTGTCAGGCCTATCTCTTTAGGCGGGAGCAGTCATTCGATGATTTTCCCCCCTAAAAAAAGCCTATCTCTTTGATATAGACAGAAACAATGGACCATCCTCATGAGGGTACATTGTCATTGTTGATAAAACCCTTCATAATTAAAATACAGAAAATAACAATGGAACACAAATTACGACAGTAATATTAGATTACAATAATTTCTTCTTCTAATATTACTCTACTCTTTTCCAGGGTTTGACGAGCCGACCGGTGCGCAAGTGCCGTCAATGTTCCTGAATTTCATCGGGTCGAGCATCGACTGGGGCTACCAGACGGAGCCCGAGCCAGCTGCTTGTCTGGGAGAAACTGATCGCAAGTGCTACTGGCCTCGCGGAAAGGTAAAGGAGTACACTCTTTAAAAAATTCAAGAAGAACGCTGGGTGTTTTTTGGCACCTACTCTAAAACTACCATTCGATTGGTTATAAGAACAACTGCTGAGTGTTGTCGAGTCCAATTTTACGAGTCAGACCAAATATTGATATTTCAGTTTTAGCAAATTGCCAGTTAAAAGAAAAATGCAATGGAAATTTAAAGAGAAAAGTTTTTTTGCCATCTGCTTCCAGGTCCTCGGCGGTACTTCAGTCATGAACGGCATGATGTACATGCGCGGCTCCCGTAAGGACTACGACAGCTGGGCGGCAGCCGGTAATGAAGGCTGGTCCTATGAAGAAGTACTGCCTTACTTCTTGAAGTCGGAAGACAATAAGCAGGTGAAGGACATGGACCAGGGGTACCACGCCACTGGAGGACCCCTCACAGTCGCTCAGTTCCCATACCATCCACCTCTAAGTTACAGTTTGGTGAAAGCCGGAGAAGAATTGGGTAAGTCACACTCACAAACAATTGTCACGTTTTGTTAAAATGCGTTCAAACTTCAGTCGGAAGATATCCAATATTGGACAAAAGCCTTGTTCTACTGCTTATCAAAAGAAATCCTGAAATATCACCTGCGGAGAATTTGTCCTTATCAGCTGATGACTGTAATTTATTTTTCCAGGTTACAAACAACGTGATCTGAACGGCATCCACCACACTGGCTTCTCAATCGCTCAAACCACCAACCGCAATGGCTCTCGGCTGAGTGTAGCCCGCGCCTTCCTGCGGCCAGCCAAGAACCGCCCCAACCTTCACGTCATGCTGAACGCCACCGTCACCAGGGTGCTCATCAACCAGACCACTAGGCAGGCGTACGCTGTCGAAGTCAGGAACAGCTTTGGTGGCACTGAAGTTATTTTTGCTAACAATGAGATTGTTTTAAGGTCAGTTCTTTTAGATTTTAGTTCAAAAGCACAATTCGGCATTAGAAAAAAGAAAAAAAAGAAAGAAATTGAAAGCTTACACCTAAACTAAATACATAAATTGTAACTGAAGAATACCACCAATATTCACCTAACATTCTTTTTGTATATTGACAGTGCTGGTGCAGTAGCCTCTCCTCAAATCCTGCAGATGAGCGGTGTGGGTGACCCACAAGTACTGTCCCGAGCTGGCGTGAAGCTGGTACACAACCTGCCCGGCGTGGGCCGCAACCTGCACAACCACGTGGCACACTTCCTGAACTTCCAAGTCAACGACAACAACACCACTCCCCTTAACTGGGCCACCGCTATGGAGTACCTGCTCTTCAGAGATGGGCTTATGTCAGGAACAGGTATGTGCGGCAATTTTAACCTTATTCAGACCAGTCTATAGGTGTCCAACCATGTTAGATTATTACGGCTTCTACCAGCAAAAATCTAACACCGGCTAGCTAAAATTTAACCATTGAAACCATTTTTCAGGAATTTCCGAAGTAACTGCCTTCATCAACACCAAGTACTCCGACCCTGCTGAGGACAACCCTGACATCCAGCTGTTCTTTGGTGGTTTTCTGGCTGACTGCGCCAAAACTGGCATGGTTGGGGAGAGGCTGGACAACGGTTCCAGGAGTATTCAGATCATACCCACGGTACTACATCCTAAGAGCAGGGGACGGTTGGAGATCAGATCTGCTGATCCGTTTGAATATCCCAAGATTTATGCCAAGTAAGTAAAAACCCTCTGCTTGAATGTGCTGATAATGACTATGTGATATTAATAGTTAACCACTGTAGTTAAATAAACAAATCTTCGGTATGCGTTCATCGCTCACAATGAAACCGAACGAATAAATACTAAAGAATGGAAAGGGAAGGGTGCCTAGTGCTGCAACCTTGACGAACTAGTTCGGGATCATAATCGTGATATTATGCAAATAAATCAGTGGGCATACCGAAAATAGTTATTGGATAAGTCACCAATTTACTGCTATTAGAGTACTTAAGACCAATTTTGCTAACAATTTCGCAAATATTCCAAATTGCTATTGAGACTAGATCTCCTCAAATATTAACTTTACTGTTTCAGTTACCTAACTCACCCAGATGACGTGAAAACCTTAGTGGAAGGTATCAAGTTCGCCCTCAAATTATCTGAAACTAAAGCCCTGAAGAGGTATGGAGTGAAACTGGACAAGACTCCAGTGAAAGGCTGCGAGAAGTTCAAGTTCGGTTGTGACGCGTACTGGGAGTGTGCTGTGAGGATGCAGACCGCTCCTGAGAATCACCAGGCTGGCTCCTGCAAGATGGGACCGAGAGGAGACCCTTCTGCTGTCGTTGATAACTTGCTGCAGGTAAACAGACTGATCTGTTATGAGTAAGTTGAAAGCCACAAATGACATCGTAGAAAATCAGAGATAACGAGACATTACAAGATGATATCGTAAAATGAGAGAAAATCACTTCAGATTTTGTGGACTATCTAAAAAAATATCAATAGAAGTCTTAAGTTTAAAATTTCCCATAGACAGTCCATCCAAACCAAAACAGAGAACATTATAAACATTCCTTAACTTTTATTATATTTATCTCCTTACTAATCGCCATCTTTGTCCAGGTTCAAGGCATAGACAGGTTACGAGTGGCGGACGCGAGTATAATGCCGGCCGTGACGTCAGGCAACACCAACGCACCCGCCATCATGATTGGAGAACGAGTCTCCGACTTCATCAAGCAGCGCTGGTTAGGAATAACCAATGTGAGTATGAAACCACTCTGATACTTATACCTTACCTACCTCGGCCTAAAAGCATGGTTCTGTTGACTCTCAAAGGCATATGAACTGGTGACTGAAATCAATCATGGTCTTTGGCGTATGACAACGAGCCCGATTTCAAACAGAAGTCATAGTAATTACAACGATAGAAGTATTGTCTTTTTTTTTACTAGCTGTTCTCAATAGAAACCTATTTTTGAAAAAAAATTGGAAAAAAGTATATCGCTCACCCACTTCGTTCAACTTTCTGATAACAATTCCGTCCCCCGCAGGCCCCGTACCCAGTCCCGCACGGCGGGCTGTCCAACGTGCTGCAGGCCAGCGACTCCCAGCCACAGCTCGCGTGGCAGCGGTGGGTGTGACGTCACAAAACGCCACCTCTACTATAATGCACACCACTGCCTTTAGTGTACATATTTAGTATTAAGTTACGATGTCACAAAGTTAAAGCCTTAGTTTAATTAATAAAAAGTAATACTCAATCGTCCAGTTAGAGTCAATTTGGATAAAAATTATAGAGATAAGTAATTATTAATTTAAAAAACACGAAACTGTGAAAATCCTCGAATTGGAACGCTGTATAGATGAAAAGCATCAACTGAACAAAACAAGTGCCTAATAGAAGAATGAAATATTTTCTATAATGGTTTTATAAAGCGAATCTACCCGAGTCATCACAATAAATGCAATAATGTGACATCACTTTAGATATAACTACTATAACTTGGAACGCCCTGCGTTGTTGTACAAATTAGTATTTATTTGTATTTTAATGCCGTCCCGTCGACGTAAGCCACACTTGTGCACAAAACAATTGCACCACTGCATTATGACCAATATTTTGTTATTGCGTGCAATACTTTTGTCAGCAAGTGTATAATTTATGATAGATTTATTATATAAGTCATTTTTACAGTAATAAAATGTTTTTATATAAGGTTTGAGTTTATTTTGTGAAGGAGTTGGGGTTGCCAAAAACACACAAAAATACATACAAAAGAAATTCTTTATTGCACAGGGATATTCAAAAATACTTAATTGGATATAACAAATTGATTTTACACCCAACGCAACGTGTTATTGGTACATGAATACCAGTACAAAACAGCGCCATACATAACCTACAAAGCTTGCGAGACATCAAAACTGTTCGTTTGTTGCTCGCCGAGTGAAGTCGTTGTATGTTTACTAAAGCTTCAACAAAGTGGGAAAGGAGAGTGCTTTGGTATAGAAGTAGAAAGGAAACTCGATCGATGGCACGACGCCCGCCGCGCGGGGGCACTGGCGCGGCTACTGGGTACATATACATATATAGCCGCGACACAAACACTCAGATTCCCCCATTAACAAATAATTTGGTGCACACGATCGAATAAATAAAATATCGACTAAACACCAAGGACCACACCACTAGCCCCGGCTCACATTAATGTTACCACTACCGGTACATCGGCAGCCAACATCGCTAACTCATAACGTCGCGTTATAAAAGCTACTTTCATTAAATTATTTCGAATAAATGTAAACAAATTATTAAAATGATTAACTAGGATCGTGCACACCGGCTCATAATATCAATAATAATATATTACTTAAACATATACGTCTAATACTTATATATCGTATCTCACTAGAATTTATTAAGCATCACGACATTGTGCCCTAAGCCGTACGATAATTACAAAAACATAGTTTATAGTGAGCTGTCTGGATGCTGAAGCTCATAGTACTGAAAAGTCACATGTGCGCAAAACAATCAAAATGCGCAAACTTTGCGCAAATATTGCGCATACAAATAACAATATTTCTTTGTTAAATGTCTTTTCTACTCGCGCACAAATGACAAGCCAGTGGTCATATCGACCGTTTTCGGTTAAAACTAATCGCATTAACATAAAACAGCCAATAACACGTATATAACACTAAATAGTTTCGCGCTAGAAGAATATATTATTTTATTATTGTGCCCCTCGTGTTTTGTAGCAAATCGAAACTAATCTTATTGTTTTCATAAGTTGAACATTCGTTAGCTATCATAAGATGAACTAAAACTGAGATAATAAAGCATTTGGTACAAAACATGTGAGGCGAGACTATCTACAGTAATAATAGTAATTAAATAGAAAATATTCCGTTGAGTAAAATATAGCACATCACGTTTATTATTACATCACATCAGTCTCCATGTTACCGCGACACTCCGCCGCCAGTACTCAGGCTTGACAACGCGGCCGTAACGTACGACACTAGATGGCGACAGATCTATACACTGACAATACTCATAAGTATCAAAATATTCCAAGTATCATTTGGAGGCCTATTTCACCAATACTACAACGCGTTTATGTTAGGTAAACTGGCACAACAAGAGGCCTTAATCATACAGTATATCAGTGTATAGAAATGACATTCCCATCGCACGTTACTCACCAACAAACACTAAGCAGACACGAATACAACAAAACTTGAATAACAGAAAACAATTACATACATATCACACTTGCCCTGACTGACACACACTAGTGACACTAGATCCGTTCAACTGGTTAGTCCACCCATCATATACAGGGACGCGTTGCCAAACTTCATATAATAAAAACATAATAAAAAATATAAGAGCACCCTTATCGACATTACTATAAAAAGTCGGAATACTGAGATAAATGCCAACTTTTTAAATAAAGTAATGTTGATAAGTATGTCCTGCGTTATGAGACAAATGACATGTAAGTGTAAATTGACCGAAATAATAGAAAGCTCATGATATTTTTATGGGGTAAGCCGGTAAACCTGCAGACGGATCACCTGATGGTAAGCAGTCTGCGTCGACCATGGACATCTGTTACACCTGAGGAGTTGCAAGTACGTTGCCGACCTGTCAGGGATTTGAGGGATTAGCGATATGGGGATTGGGGATGAGATAGGGGTTTTGGGATGATTATATCACAATTACCGTCAAGTTTATTATTCTCTCAGTCGATTATCGCCTTAAACACCATTTGGCTCATACCACGGATTACCTATAAAGCTTCTGCCCACACAAACCTGCATGTAGCTCCAACGCTTATAGAACCAACAATAGGAATGCATTACAACTACGCAATCATAATAACTAACAAAACTCTGTAACGATACCCTGAGCTCTGGACACAGATTAAAAATAATTTTACAAATACTTTACCGGTAACACTCGATAAAGAAAGAAACATTTAATATATTAAAATATTTTGATATTATAGTATCTAAACACATAGTATCTAAACAGAATAGTATATAGTAGCGGACTGAATGCCTTAAGGCATTAAGTCCGCCATTCACTGTTGTATTTTGTGAAGAAGAAAATAAATACATAAATAGTAATGAAAAATTTGCCTATACCTTTGAACAAGAAACTTATTGAGTTTTAAAATGAAGAAATTCAATTTATACTTTTAATTTGTTATTCTATTCATATCTAATCTGTGACATGTGGTAAGTTTAACAGTAATGTATTTGTATAATTATTATTCCCGTGTCGCCATCTTTCCGCGCGATATCACGCCAAACCCTCGCTCGAAAAAATCAACATCATTTATTTACAAAAACAATTATAAAAAATGAAATAATGTCATTATTGATAATATTCAATTCAATACATTAATAGATTAATTAAAATTTGTGTTGATAATTTTTGGTATTTAAGTAGCCGTACATGATTAGATGTATAGATATTTTTAACTCGAAAATATATTTGAGCGCCATCATTATTTGTACCAGTGTATTTCATAATAAAGAATTAGGTACCTGGCAGTGTGTAAATGACTTAATTTCGATAAAATATTGATCATTGAAATAATTAATTATACTCAATTTAACAATAGAATAAAAAATTGCAATCAATTCAAATTTTGAGCGTTTTCTGTGGTCCCTTCGCGGTTTGAACATAAGCTTACATATTTTGAGACAGACCACAATATACCATAATTTATTTGCAATATTTTCTTTATTATATTTATTTAAATTTTCGAAACTATACACCGAATCTTCGGGCCATATAATTTATAAGCATTTCATTCCACCTTCATAGACAGCTGAAATCGGTGAAGTGACGAACGCTTTAAATAATCAGACAACCGAGTACATACCTTAACCACTATTTAATAAGGTACATATTACAATACACCTTTTTAAGCAAACCAAATAAAAAACAACAGTATAATATATCGGCTTTTTATACTCAAATCTGGACGTTATACAGTGTATGATAGTAGATATAGCTGTCAATGCTCGCGCTGTCTTATCACCAATTTCAAGCTTAGGGGGTCGAAACCCTAAGAAGCCCTATTACACCGCAGAGCTGGATTCCTTACGAGGGTGGCTCTATGCCACCAGGCAAGTAGTCTCACGCCGTTATATACCATAACTTCTACATAATAGAGCACATTTTCTTCAGGTCGTTTTCATCAGGATCTAATACTTCAGTGTCTCGTACCACAGGCTCTTTGCCCGCGATGTCTGGGAGGTACCTGGTAGGAAAGATATTGTTAAAATTCTATACAGAACGATAGGTGAAATATGCGTTATATGTTGTAATGTATAGTGTACAGTATTGTATCTTTTTGTAGTGCACTGAGTGTTTATTGAAGAATATTGTAGTGTATTCCCGTGTATTAAAAGGTATTTAAGTGTAATTCTGTAGTGTGTTATGTGTATAAGTGGGTGGTGGTTTGCTGCAAATTCGCATGGGTTTCCACAAAGTAACACCTGATATTATTCTGTGTATTGTATAGTATCTGTGTTGTTTCGTAGTGGAGTGTATGTCGTCGTGGCGTACCGCTCGTAGTCGAGTCCCTGGCGCTCGTAGAAGAGCAGGTAGGCGGCGGCGGGGTCGATGGGCGGCGCGGGCGCGGCGGGCAGCTCGCGGCACGAGCTGTCGTTGTAGCACAGCCAGGCGCCCGACGGGTTGCGCGCGTAGGCCACGTAGTGCCCGCCGCTCATCTGGCCCGAGTGGGACACCACGGCGTACAGCCGGTACTTCAGCTCGAACGGGTCCTGCTCCGGCACCAAGTGGTGCCCGTGGTAATCGATCAGGTTGTCGTCCGTCACCGGCGTCGTCACCAAACTCGTGGACTCTAACCTCTCCCTCCCTTTCACCTCCGCTGAGCTCCTTCGCTTCCTCTCCACCTTTGGCCTCTGAACCTTCTGCTGGACATTACTCTCGTCGTCTTCGCTTTCTGACTCCGATATAGTATCGTCCACGAATACTGATGACCTTCGCTTCGAGTTGAGTATCTCGTTATGCCGGAGTATGGTTTCCTGTGGTACTGACGCTAGGTAGGCCGTGGGGTCGAAGTCTTGGAACGGGAAGTTGACTACTTTTTGCGATTTAATCCATTTGTTATTCACATATTGGAATCGTTTTAGGTGGACAACCTGCGAGAGTGAAATGAAAACAGTTATGGCTGAGTCACAAGCGAAAAGTTTGATGGCCTACTCCAATCCTACTAATATTATAAATATGAAAGTTTGTATGTGTGTTTATTTGTTACTCCTATACGTCAAAAAGACTGAAAGAATCGAGATGAAAGGAACAGGGGTGGATTATGATTTGAAATAACACACAGACTACTTTTTATCCCACAGTTACGCAGGTGAAACCACGGGCGAAACCTAGTAATGACCATAAAGAAGTCAGTAGCTTTCCAGGTGTAGTAGTAGTATAACGTACGAGTATGGGCGGCAGCCTCCATATCTGCAGCTTCTTGGTGGCGGGCTGCGCGCTGCGGCAGTGCGCGCAGTGGTAGCGCTGCTCCAGGCGCTCGCAGCTCGTGAAGGCGCGCAGGCAGCTGGCCAGGTCGATGGCGCGGGCCGCCTCCGCGCGGCACGCCGCCACCGAGCCGTGCTCTATCCACGCCTGCACACAACTTGTATTACAGCACCGAGCGGGCTGGCACGGGGCAGTGCCGGGGGGCGCGTACCTTCTCCCTGGTGGACTGGTAGCGCAGGTGCAGCGCGGTGGGGTCCCAGTCGATGGCCAGCACCAGGTCCCCGCGCCGCGCGCCCGCCAGCAGCGCGCTCAGCTCGCGCGCGCCCACCTCGCCGCTCTCACACTCGCCCTGGACACCGCAATCATAATATTATATAAGGTGCAATCGTTTGTAAAATTTATTCACTTTATGTGCAACGTTTTGCTCAACATCGTAACTTTATACGCAACATTATAACATAATGCGCAACAATGTGCGCAATCTCATCATATTAAGCGCATCTCGCTATAAAAATTTAGTTTGGAAACAAAAAAATTATACAGCATCAGTAAATGTATTACAATATCTCACTTACCGACATATCAGCGGATAACCGCGTGGCAGCATGTCTGTTGAGTTTGTTCTTGGCGACGGGAGAGTTAGTGTTGGGCACGTCGCCGTCTATTGTGGTGGGGGTTACACTCGGACGTTTACTGTGACGACGTTTACCTGTAAGATAAAGTGAAATAATTTAAGATGATAGATCTTATGATGGCTTCAAATTCAAGTATTTGTCTTGCAATGGGTCATTTTACAGATTGCTTTAAGACAAAAGACAAAGAGTAATTTAAAAAAATTAAGTTCAACAGATTTTCTACACTAGACGTTTTTGTGACATATAAGTAGAGAGAGCGGTCGCAACCCACCGGAGTGAGTGAGCGGCGTGTCGTCGGAGGGCAGCGCGCAGCCGCGACAGAGGCGCGGCCAGGCGCAGCGCGCGCACCACGCCGCGCCGCGCCGCAGCAGGCGCACGCGGAACGGGAACTCGTAGCCCAGGCTGTCGTCGCAGTCCGTGGCGTGGTTGTGGCCGTCGGCGCCGCGCGGCCGCGCCGACAGCAGGCGCGCCACCTGGCGCCACACGCGCGCGTACAGCCCGCGCCCCGTGCCCGCGCCGCGCACGCCCACCACCAGCGGCACGCCGAACACCGACGCGCGGCTGCGCTGCCACGGCAGGAAGTACGCGTCCGACCGGGTTTGTTTCCTACCGACCAACAAATCACACTTTGTACACGACAATCGTTCGGCAACAGTAACCTTCACATCATAAAGATGCAACAAACCTATGCACGGCAACGAGATACTGTATCTTCCCAGCGGGCGGCTCCCTGGTGTCGTCGAGGCGGCCCATGTTGGAGGGCGAGGAGCCGAACTTGACGCTGGGCAGGCGCGGGGAGCGCGGGGAGCGCGGCGCGAGGGTGAGCGAGCGCGCGCTGGGCGTGGGCGAGGAGTCGCGGCGCGCGTGGCGCGGCAGCGTGCTGCTGCGGGACGACGCGTCGCTGAACACGGCGTGCTTGTACAGCGTGTTCGGAGGACTCTGGGACATAAGAATTTCCGATCTCGAGCGCTGAAACCGTAGATCGATTAACATGTAGATTATGGGTTTTATTTCCTAAACCTTTCCACTTTCCATCTCTATTTCAGTTGCAAGGATATTAACCAACAAAAAAAAATCAATTTTAAAACTACTTTTTAAGCCTCCTCAATACAATCAGGACCAAGATAAACTTGAAATATAATCTGAAATTTAAAATCTTTGAGAAACTAAAGCAAAAGTTAATTTGGACAGTATTTCTACTAAACCAAGGTCAATATTTACAGGAAAATTGGAAATTAATAAAATAGAAGCGAATTTGTACAAAGAGTGACCTCTACCAAACAAAGAATGCACATTTATATACAATCTACGAACACTTAGCGCATGTCTAATATGGTGGTAACCTGACAGCTTAGGAAACCTGTTCCATTCTATGTATAGAGCTAATTTCAATTTATTCAATATTTTGACCAGGCATTATTGAGCTCTGAACCATAACTGAAACTATCAATGTTGTCAGCCTAGAAAATCTTTACGGTTAAATAAATTAACAAAGTGCTACTAACGTCACTTTTCTGCTACATTTAGCGGAGAGCTTGGCGGTCGCAGTTGAAAGTTCGTTTTTTTTTTTAAACTTGTCTGTAATTTATCCAACACGTTAAATACTGCGTAGGTCACCGGTGAATACCGCCAGCGGATGATTTGCCTTCGACATTTTCATTTTGACTATAATGTATTCAGAAACTCGAAGATCATAATCATATTCCCTGGGTTCAAGAAATGGAACAAGGTTTCACTAAACAGACAATGAATCTAGTAACGGGTACATTTAGCGAACACTAATGAAAACACAAACGACATAGTATGAAGTGGGTAGTGCATCAGTCAGTTTGTCAATGAACATATATTTATATAATATTTATTGAACATACTAAACAGTCATCAGTAAATAAACAAAACTTACTGCAAAATTTAACTGTAAAATAAAAAAATGGCAAGTCTAATAACTATTTTATAGATATTGCCAGCACAAAAAAATAAATGTCAATAAAACACCATTTTCTACTGCAATCATAATGTTAAGACGTATATAAGTTTATATAATGGCGTATACTGTGCAGTATCGGTTGCCATTAGTTACCTGGACATGTCAACACTCCGCCACTCGGTGTACTCGACACAAACAGACAAACAACCCTCATTGCATTGAACACCAGTTTTATTATATTAGCTATCTCTTACATACTGGTAATTAAAGAAAGAGACAAATATACGTTATTTTTGCTACCGTGAGACACACTAAAGTTACTGAAATATACGGCTCACTCACGTGAACGAATCGAGGAAAGCTCAACTTGTTTCAAGTCACTTCGGGACTCGTAATAATGAAATGTCGAGTGATCAACTGACTTGTTTTGAAACTAGTAAAGCTTTTCTCTCATTATTTCACGTGGTGTTCTCAGAGATGTTTAATGATTATTTATTTAAAATTCCCCAAATTCCCAACATAATTGTTAAGAACTGGGTTAAGTAACCATGTAATGACTCTGAAGTACGGCGGTAAGCCGAATATTTCAATTTAATTGTAAATATATCTCTTTCTTTCATTATCCAATAGTAAGAGATAGCTACATCTCAGCCGGTACACAAGACAACTAGAGCGAGAACTGTACACAATAGTTAGTTGAGGACTGTACAATACAATGACGTCATAGTCCGGGACAATATACAGTATGTTCTTATATTAATATTGTATTGTTATGTAAGGTATTTGAACGACTTTCACTTACATGCCATCACCAGACGGATAAATAAAAACGTTTTCACGCACATGGTACGCATTTATATCTAATTACATCGGAAAAGACATTTCAAACATATTTTTATAGTATCATTAAGTAATGTTGAAGTATACTTGCCCCACAATTATGTCCGAAGTTAATATAGCAAAATGCAAGTACTTACTAAAAAAAATTTTATGGTATAAGTCGGTAAACGTCTAGACGGATTACCTAATGGTAAGCAATCGGCGTCGCCCATGGATACCCGGAACACCAGAGGCGTTAAAAGTGGGTTACCGGCCTTTTGGGGATTAGGAATTAGATTTCCCAAAAGTGTGCTTAAGAGAGCATGTACCAAATATATCATTTACATTTTTCTAGGTAAAATGGAAGTAACTTTTATTGTTTTACAAGTGCAACTGAAAACGTCTTTATATGGACAAACAATTTATAATGAAATCGCTACGCTTGTGTATTTACTTTTTTGTTTAGTCTTTTATTTTCGGCTTTCTGACATTTAAGTCACTGATTTGGGTAAAGCATTATTAAACGATTTTTACAAATTTTCGTAAAGAAAATGTATTGAAACCAAAATTTATTTAGGTGTCCAAGAGAATTTAATATTGTGAATACGGACAAAATATTTAATGAATACTGTATTACTGACCAAAATTAAGTAAGTTTATTTTGATTCTATTAAATAAATGTTTAACAATGTAATGACTATTGTGTTTGAGTTTAAAATTCATTATTTCAACACAGCATGTATATCAGTAAGCCGCCCTTACACCAGTGTGTGTGAGTGCGATGTCTAACCTTGAAGCAGAAGAGTGCTGGCATGCAGAGTGAGGAAGTATTGCCGCCGCCCACACTCACCTCCGCCCACGCCGCCGACTCCGGGCTCCAGCCTGGCCAGACACACGTCAACATATTTTTATCAAAAGTACACACCAAAATCATTCGCTGAGTTATACGAAAAAATCACAGATGGAATCGATTTATGATTGTAGGATTATCCTCCATAGATAATACCCATATCCGCCCTTAATCTACAACTAAAAATCACTCGCAGAAGATAGGTGACCAGCACTGCTATAAAATACACACAACTTATTACTATAAATATTATTAACATTTCTATCTTATCTTCCAACAAAGTTCCACACTGACGTCTAAAAAGCAACAATGAGTAGAGTATGTGTGTAAAATATGTGTACCGTTGGTGTCGTGCGTGTCGTCGTCGCAGTCGCTGCAGTCGTCCCCGTCCCCGTCCCGCGGGAGCTCGTACGCGAACAGCTCCGTGGCGCTGCCCGCCCATATCTTCGACCCGTCCTCGAACACGCGCCCTATCATTGCGCCCGATAGCTCCACTATTAACATCCTGAAAGTCAACGACAAAGCATTTATTTTAATTAGACATCGTACAGGCACTTTTGAAACATCTACAAATTATGAATTGTCTGTTAGTCAGTCAGTCTGTCTGTCAGTGAAGCTAGGAAGCTATCAATCATCAGTAATATAATTAGAAATCATGTTTATCGAGTTCATTACAACCAATAATACTCACGATTCAGGCGCTAGTCCACATAAATCTGATAGTTTTTTCTTGAGATCCAAATACGTGCCTTCCGAATTCACTCTGACTCCGTACTTTATAGGCACTGACCCGTCTAGTAACATTACTGTAACGAAAATGAATGTCAATATAGAAGGGGAAAGTAAAGAACACAGCTCTTGACTAAGAGAGTGAAACAGAGTGTTGCGGTACGTGAGTAGTCCGGGATGGGTGGTTACCTCTAATCTCGCAGCAGACGTAGGACTCCATGGGCAGCGGCAGGCTGAGCATGTTGAAGGCGTCGAAGCGCACGGAGTCGCGGCCGCACGTGTCGCACTGCACCTTGGACTTGAGCTGGCCCAGGAACAGGTCGGTGATGATGGAGGCGTTGCGCTGCGCGTGCTGCGCCCAGGCCTCGGCCGCCACGAGGCGGTCGGCGCGGCCGGCCGAGTCGGCGGCGGGCGCGGCGGGCGCGGCGCGCGGCGGCGGGCGCGCGGTTGAGGTCCTCGTGCAGCGCGTCCAGCAGCCACGCCAGCAGCTCCTGCGCGTCGTGCTGCCCGCCGCCCGCCAGCGCGCGCGCCCAGCGCGACACGCACCAGCGCACGCGCAGCGGCGCCACCGACCGCGCCGAGCACGACCACACCTGCCACACCATTGTATCACTACACTTCTAGCTACCTGCCCTCTTTTTAAGGAATACAAAATCATCAAATGTGTGACCTCCCTCATCGGGTGAGACGACAAGGAGTGTCAGACTCTAAGCAATAAAAACCACCTCATATCCCACTTACCTCTTTACACAGCTCTCCATACCGCAACGCCAACACTCCCTTAGTACCGAGTGGGTTGGTAGTGTTCACCTCGTACAGGTGCATCCCCGAGTTGAAATACCGAGTCAGGGGACCCGTATTCCACACCTACGACAAACAACTCGAAATTAGTACCTAGTTCTTTGCAACCAGTGACAACAGGTCGTTTTAGTCACTACTTAGTGCTTAGTTTAAGCATCAACCTCTGCAAACTGCGTCGCGAACACGCCACGGTTGTGCAACGAAGATGTGGCGTATACGTTGCTAATACGTTACTTTTCGACATGTATTCGTAACAGACGTTCACGTCACGGTGATCTTGTTAACCGTTTGCAACGAATTCTTTACGCATACGCAGTGCATTCCGTTATGTTGTGGAAATATCATCACTTCATCTCGCTAAAGATCAACACATAGATCGGAAGCAGTCTACATCTAATTTTTAGAAATAATTGTTAAGTTTCTTTAAGAATGTAATCCGCTTGGAATAGTATGTCGACTCACCGACTGCAGCGCTGCGTTCATGAAGCAAGTGTTCCCGAGGTTGTGCAGGCCGGTGGCGCCGGGCAGGTTGGGGGCTATCAGGGTCTCACGGCGCTCGGTAGCACGGCACGAACCACTGCTCATACTGGAAACAATAGTCACATAATACAGTAATTTGCTTAATTACATGAACCTTGTTTATGTGACTTTAATGGGCCGTTTCAACCTGAAAAGTATCACCCTCTCACAGAATGTTAATGTGAAGTTGTAACGTAGATAAACGAGAAAGTGATGGTCCAAGCCATTGTTGGATCAAGCTATCATATTTGGAGAGTCGTCTTCTTCAGAAATGATGAGCGCAAAACATACAGTTTTTATATGGTCTTCGTGGAGATTATAACAAACTCGACACAGCTTTTTTTTGAAAAAAGTAACGATGGAGTTTCTTGCTTGTTCTTCACCATTCGAAACTACATGTTGGAACGAACTTAGACAGATAATTCAATTTTGACGTTTCAAAAGTGCCTTATTGTTAGAACAGCTTATATTTAAAGAGCAATACAATAGACAATAGAGTGTGTGGCACAGACCTGAGTGCCCCGATCTCCTCGGGCCAGGTGAGGTCGGGGTTCCTGAGCTCCAGCAGTAGGCGCGCGCGGTCGTCGAGCCCCAGCGCGGCCAGCGTGGGCCGCTCGTCGTCCAGCAGCACGCCGCCCGCGCCGCCGCCCGCCACCAGCCACAGCCGCACGTCCTCGCGCGCCAGCCCCAGCGCTGCGCACAGGAACTCGCATACCTACGGACATTCTCCTAATTAATGACGTGAACCTAACACATTGTTGTAAATTCTAACGTTTGAAACTCAAATTACGACATCACCACCACTTAGTTAGAAATTATGAGCTCCGATATACCTTGAAAGTAATCGACCATGCTCGAAAGTTTAAGTGAGTAAGTCGAACATGTTGATTACTTAAAAATAATGATGACCTTAAATTATTAAGATGCTCAACAATTGAGAATTGCGTAAAAATTCATTTGAATCACTTACCTGCTTCACAGTGGCCAGTCGTGAGAATGCGGCAGTATAAGCGAGTTGTCGTTCAGGCGGCGCCGGGGCCACGCCGCTGTATAGCGCCGCGCCGCCCGCACCCGCCACACCGCCCGGGGCCATTCCTATTATAAGAAAATGGTTTATAAGTACCATTTAAGACAACCTTTATCGGTAGCTCCGTAAAAAATGGACTTCAATTTATGTCTAATAGCCAGATCTATCAAGAGATAGAAGGAAATTAAAGTTATACGTACTCTGAGGACTCTGCACATGTCGCAATATCTTCAAGTGCAGAGGATACAGCTCTAATTCCACGTCAGAATTTGGGGGACGAATCACCTGTGGTAAACAATCATAATATCAATTCTCTACCAGTATTACAATTTCAGAATAAATTAAATGAGAAAATATCTATTCAATATTCAATTAGCTTTCTGTATGTGTTAACGTTATTTGAGCATAATGAGAGGCTCGAAAATGACTTTAATCTCTTACATTTCCACAAACTCAAAAGCATTTAATTAAACCATAATTTGGTACTTTTGGAACATCAACAAATATGAAATAAATAATAGTCTGTCAGTCTGTCCGCCAGTGAAGCTAGGCGCTCGTTCCAAAATGTCGATTCGAGTGGAGAAGAATGAGCAAGAAACTTCATTCGTCACTCTTTTAAGAAAAAAGTCTGTTTTACACTGCTCTGATACATATTCGAATATTGTACACATATGTGAGAATAATGTAAAGACATACCTGACGCAATATACAAATACTGAATGGGAAGCAGGGTTACCTGTCTGGGCAGGGGGTCCGGTCCGCCGTACCAGAGCGCGAGCGCCCTCCAGAGCGCGTCGGGCACGAGCTCGAAGTCGTGGTGCTGCGCCAGCGTGAGGTCGCGGCGCAGATGGCCGCCCTCGCCCGTGAGCGTGCGCGCGGCGGCGGGCGCGGGCGCCAGCAGGCGCTTGTTGTGCACGGGCCCGGGCGCCCGCGCGCCGCGCGCCGCCGCCGCGCTGCTCACGCCGCTGCTGCTGCCGCCGCTGCCCAGCGACCCCGTCTCGGCGCGCCACAGCAGGGACCCCATCGACTCTGCGCCATTAACATCACTTTCGACATGACTACAAACTACATCACCGTGTACCAGTTTTGGCATAGCATATATTAAACCTGTTTCACTATTGTAACACTCATAACCATAATGTAGACTACATAAGTACAGCAAACTATTATTAATGGAAGATCAGCAAAACCAGAAGAGTTGGTACACACGGCCACACATCAATCTATACAAAACCAATTTGTCCTGGTGTCGCGTCGCATCATCTTTCCGCACATTAAACGTTCAGTTTATAAGGGTTATGTAAAGCTCGATGTGTCGCCGTGTATGGTTAGATTGATGGTTGACCCAATGAACCAACAAATCAGAAGGCGGTAATATTTCAATTTATACGTAAAAATAATCATTCTGGGCCTTCAAACCCACTACAGATGCGTTATTGACCTCTTACCTTAAAGTTTTGATAAAATTCTATCAAATTTGTTTAACATTAATGCATGTGACCACACCAGTCGAAATAATGAAGTCTTCCACTTCCACTACATACAAAGAATACCAAGGATGTAGCTCACCAGTGGAGTTGCTGGTGAAGCTCTCATCGCAGACGATAGCCTCGTCGATGTGCCTGTGTGGAGGTCGGCAGCAGTTGTCGGTGCTGGAGGCGGAGGTGTATGCGAGCCAGTTCCCCCACCACTCAGCCCCCACTAGGTACCAGAACTGACCCACTGCGTACCCTCGTTGAACTGCACGCCTTAACCAGCCCAGTACTGAAAAGTAATGTAGATGTTAAAGTTTATATCTGTAAACGATAATAAAACAAACTTCGCACTATAATAGCATTTTCTTATATGCCGTAAGTACGATTACAATCGAATAAAATAGAAATCATTAATTGTCAACAACATAAATAATTAAACGGTTATTTCGTACGAGAATAAAACTCTTAATACTCTAAAATCACTGCATCAATCGTGTAGAATATTAATCTGTGGAAAACTTTTGAGTCACTAATATATCAATAGCCTACCTTTCGAACTTTGATCTAATCCTATCCTTAGTAGCGAAATCTACCAACAGATATTTAAACTGTCCATAATTCAATGTATATTCTTCATTACTCAATCAATTAACAAATACCATTACAATATAAAGTCGCTTTTGGTACATTATTCTACAAACTATTTTCTGGAATGTTGTTCTAAATAGAAAAGATCAGAGAATATTAACTGAATCAATCAGGCCCCATAAAATAACGAGGACAAATGTTTGCACGGCCTACACGCCTAATGTCAATTGATTGCGAACTAGTGCGTATATTCGCAATGATGAGACGCACTTGTTTATAACATCCATATTGATGCGTGATTGTTGTTGTGCCAATTTTAATTTATGAGAAGAGATGTCTTTTTTTCTAACTTTAGATTACTTAACATAGAAGCAATATTTACTTTCACATGGGCCAAATTATTAAGTTTATTTTTTACCAAGAAATTCTCAATTAGCCCCAAGTCTGCAATGCACGCCTCTTCATTTTCAATCTCTAACAAACAATGTTTATGATAAAAGATAAAAGGGTTGTTACTCGAATATGTAAATAATATCTAAACATAGTCAGTCGCTAGTACGACTGAGCCAACCATTCAATAAAGTAAAGTATATCTAACAATACAGTATCACTTTCAGTTCCAACAATTTACGTACAAGGAAAACGCATCATTATCGTAATGATTAGCATAAAGGACCGTCCTCGTCCGCAGCGCCATCTATCATAATAAAGTGTAAGACGGGTGCGTCACACGCGTGCGACCCACATACGCACCTATCTCGACAATTACTGTAATTACATTCAAACAACATGCGTTATCTGTTAAGGACGGGACTCTTTATGTTATTTATGTTGTATAATAATTGCACAATTGTAAGTAACTATCATTATATTTGCTTTCGCCAGAAAAAAATAGCTTTTCAATAACTGTGATCAATATTAAGTTAATTTTCATTACTATACGCACAGTTTTGTTTTGATATAAAATCCAAAAAGACTGATAAAACTTTTTTTAATAACTTTCTGAATCTAAATAGGGACCAAAATCATACTAAATGCTATTAATGTAAAGGTTTGTAAGTATGTATGGAACTATAGATGTTTGATAGTCTTTCACCAAAATACGACTGGACGGGTTCGAATGAAATTTAGCACAGAGATAGATAGCACATAGGGTCTATACGAGCCTGGAATAACACATAGGGTCCATACGAAGTCGAATCTACACCTTGGAATGAGCAAATAGCTTCACTTTTAATCTTTTTTTTGTTGGCGTTCAATAGTGCCTTCTTTGTCTAATTGGAATAATTGACTTTGGGTAATCATGAAAGAAATGCGGGCGAGTCCCCAGGCAGAAGCTAGTAATACTAAAAATGTACTCTTACCAATTTTCACTTCATGTAGCTTATATGAATTAAATAGTCCATTATCATAATACAAACTGTATATTATTATGCACAGAATACTATTTTAAAGTACCAGTAGCAAATTAGTACCAGCAATAGGCATGTAGGTACCACTGGTATTCAAGTAACTACTAAACATGTTGTTATCACAAACAACTTGTTGTAAAGTAGTTATTGTTAATACAATAGTACTTTGAGACTTGTGAGTGTTCATGGAAATTGGTTGTTAATGACTAAGTAAGGTAAACGTGATATATAAAGAGGAAAGATTTGATTCTTTGTTTGTTCGTTTGAATGGAATCTCATCCGAAACTAGCGGACCGATTTCAAAAATTCTTTTACCGTTAGAATCCTACATTATCGATGATAAACATGGGCTATATTTAATAGGCGAGAAAAAAGAAAAAAATCATTATTATACGCGGACAAAGTCGCGGGAAATAGCTAGTATAGTATAATAAAGCAGGTTTGGTTGTTTATTCTAATATGTTTGTTCCTCCTAGTCCTTTCCTTTATCGTACCACAAGACAATCCGAGAAGTATCACCGATTCATGATAGATGTCCCACCCACACGCACGAAGCGCTTTGCATCAAGCTTCCTTGTGCATACTGCTAAGTGGTGGAATTCTTTGCCAGAGTCTAAATTTCCTGAAGCGTATAAGCTTGGTCTCTTCAACGCTTGCATAAATAGGCTGCTTATGCTCCATCGCATCATTGTTTACCACCAGGCGAGAAAAGATTTATTGACACTTTTTATGCATGTAATTTCTCTGTCCGTCAAACGTCCTTTTTATTACAACAAAATAATAAATAGAAATCAGAGACTACACTTTGATGCATTGATTTGACGTATTGTACTCAAGTATATTTACAAGTATAAAAACGTTACAATTGACGTCAACGCCATAAACATGTTATTAATGAGATGAGATTCAAAAAATCTAAATAAATCACATATCTAGCTCCAATATATACATATAACAATATCAAAGTTACTTCGTTATACAATGACAGCGTAAGCCCGGCGCTTAAACTGCATAATAATATGAAAATTGTAGTTTACATGTCCGATAACAAGTGATAACTGCCTGTCCACTATAAGTACAGTCTACCGCGACATTATACATTGATAACAATGTTTACTAACTGCTCATCATTGCAATATAAACTACGCAATGGATAGCCAAAATTTATAATGACTATAACAAGTAATTTACTACCTTAACAGCTTCAACTTAGAGTTTAATTTTGTCTGTAAGTGTTGATTTATTGTAATGACATGGTTGTTATTCAAAACCTGACCTTATTATTTTGTTTTTAAAGTTGCTATTTATACAAAGATAAGTCGTCAATATAAGGAGTGCTTGCTAATTATAGCGCGGTAAGATTGTGATTGTGAACACTTGAATGGAGATGGAATTAATTATAGTCGTGTTATGTAACAACTATCTGAATGTTTAATGTTCCACTGTTAATATATTTTGTAAATAATCATTAAAAACGTGACTTACATTAACCTATCTTTAGATAATATTATTAACAGTTAAAACACTTGAAACTCGAATGTTAAATTCACTCTAAGCACTTCAGTGTTGATTTGTTTTATCAAACAGCTATACAGTAGTAAATTTTCCACTTCATCGTATTCAGATTAATTTTATTATTGTTGTGGTAGCTGTCATTTTTAAGTTGTAATGCGCAAACTTTTTGCGCATAAACCATGTTGTACTAAAATAGGGCATGGACTGATTCTTTAAAGACATTTAATGAATGGAGCCTATTGCTATACACGCGTCTCAATTGTATGTGCTTATGGTTTATGCGCAAAATGTTTGCGCACCATTACGCGCAAATATCCTTGCTATAATTGAAAGCCAATTATATTACTATTTTACCCTAATCAACCCCAAGACCTAACATATAACACTTACTCTAAACATAAAACATCGGTACTCACCAATATCCCGCTCCTGGTGTTTGCACTGTGGCCTCAGCCCCAGCACAATATGGCAGACCTCAAACAATAAGTCCAGGAAGGGAGTGACCAGCGTCTCCGCGCTCTCCACGCTCCATATCAAAAAGTCCTCCAGAGTCAGCGCCATGTCATTCGCTATCAGACCTTCGTTCTCTACTTCTTCTTCTGTCTGTGTCTGATCTTGTTCTTTTTGCTGCTGAAAATTGTTACCACCATTTTTAAACGTTGATGACGAAAATACTGTAGAAGACCGGACATGTTCCAATTGTTGACAGTTACTGAATTTCACAGATAATCATAGATATCACACCAAAGTAATAAATACACTTCCAAAGATTTTAAACCTTTTTTAAACTGTCAAGCACCAAGCGGTCACCGGTGACCGCGACCTATTGTTCTTTAATTGTGTCTATAAAACCGGTACTCGACGAGTTAAAAGAATAGAAAAGGAAAACCCCCTAAGTTTATTTTTGAAGCTAAATACCAAAATAAAGTTCTTTTCAAGGTCAAAAAGACAAATCCAAGAAAAACTACAAACCTCTTTTAAAACAATAATGTCCTCCTTATCACCATTGGGTCCCAATTGGAACACTGGCTTCCTCCCATTCTTGGGAACGGTGACCAGTTTCTCTCTCAAATTGACCAGGATGACTTCAGGGTCGAACCCTTTCTCCGTACCCTCGGAGTCATTGCTGTCTGAAGGAGTAGAAGCCCTGGAGTTCTGGTTCTTGAGGCTTTCATTGGCAACGGTGCAGAGGATCCCCACCATGTCAATGAGTTCCTTCTTGTTGAGCACTCCATCGCTGTCCAGGTCGAAGATTTTGAAGCAAACTGGAATAAGATGAGGGAATTAGTACTGTAGGGACAAAGTAATAAGTTAGAGTATCTTTTAGAATACTCTATGAGCAATGATATTGGTTCTATTTAGGAGAAGGAACAGCCATCAGGACATTTAAGGTTCAAAGTTCAAAGGAATAGAGATAGATAGGACTACGAAGAGTTTTTAACCTCTTGTCTGTCGATATATGAGCCACAATAGAAAACGCATTGTGTCTCGCGTAGAGCTACGCTCCGACATACCAGAGGTTAAATGTTCCTTTAGCCTGTAATCTAAATATTTTTCACAGCTAAGGCTTTATGTGTTTATAAAGTCCTCTTATTATACTTCCTGAACATTAGCGAATCTACAGCTTCGTCGGTAGTTATTACAATTTCGCTATAGATGAAATCAATGTACGGACATTGTAATCAATCACTATCAACAACTCATTGGGCTTTCCCTGTCAGATTATGTTATCATTAATCACAACACGTAGCTTGCATCTTGCGCATATTGTATTTAAAGGACATAATGATTTGTCCTCTCTTGTCTAAAGGACAAGTGAAAATGGAGCAGAATTAAATTAATTCGTCAGATATCGCTGAATAATCATTTGTTATCCTACTTATTGAAAAATGTGTATTAAGAATTATATATTAAGAATCAAACTGAACACAACACATTTATCCGAAGCTAAGAATCGCGGAGTTTAAATTTGATGACAAAATACAAGATCTCTAGTAAGAGCACTATCCAAATAAACAAATTATGTACACAATTTTTCTAAAAATACATACAAAGCCTGTCATATAGAGGATCCATATTTCATGCCTATTTCCACGAATAATCAGATGAAAACATAATGACACAATTTCAATAAACTGGAGAGAATCTTCAAACAATTGGAATCTTAAGTGTAATGTATGTTATCTTGATAAGCGCCCCATTACAATAATATATTATTAGTATCAGATGATAATGTGCGCACATGTAAATATGGATGTAGCTGATGTTTCAAGGACAGTGGGACTAATTATAGGTCTAGAACTTTCTATCACAATCCATTTTGGGTAACTCGCTAATTATTATTATTTCCCAGTTCGGTGGTATGGTATACCAATCATGTATAACTGCGTACTTACGTCCGAATGTTGTACTTAAATATCGTGCTATCTCTGCCATTGTTCATTTATCATTTTCATTTTACAAAGAATTTGTAGTGACAGAATTATTTTCAAGTGCGACTTAAAATTATGTAGCGTTTGAGTATTTCGACAGATATATTTTATGATTACTTAAAGGACTGCTAAAGACAGCTTTGAGTATCCATTAAATGGGTCTGAGTACGGCGGTAAGTCTTCAAAAGAGTGCAATGTTCATTGCGCCACAATAGGTAATATTTTTATATTACTAATAATAAAACCCAAGGTTTTAATAGCAATTCTAATTAGTTAACAATTACAACGTCATGGTTCATTTTGCTTCCCTGTCTGTTTTACTTCATCCGCATTATTTGATTGAAAAAAATCTAGCACAAAACAAAATGTTTATGCATAACATATTGGCTTTTTTTTTTTTTTTAAGGGGGGAAAATCATCGAATGACTGCCCCCGCCTGGGTGAGGCGGGAGGGAGTGTCAGACTCTTACTGACTAAAAACCACCCCGTTCCTTCTCCTGCACGTCGAGCCGGAGCCCCGGTTACCCGTTAGGTTCTCCGCGACTCCGAATCGGCATCGGCCCTATTGGGCCCCATCTGTGGTGGTCTGATGGCTCTTTGAGGCGCGCGGAACGCGACGCGCCGTACGCTCGGGTCTGTTTCTGGTCGGACGGGGAGCCACCCATGCTCGCCGTCCGCAGGCCCGCGCTTACGGTGGCCGGAGATCGTCCCGCGATCCCCGACGCCCGGTGTGTCCTTCGCGATGGCTGGGTTGCGAGGAGGCAGCGCTTCGCTGCCTCACGCGTCCCGCCTCCTCCTTAGCTAGCATGACTGCTTCGCAAAAGGAGGAGACGGCATCCCAATCCCCCTCGCTCCGCATCATGGCCTGCACTAGGCCCGGACGCGAGAGGTCGCCATCGCCGATCACTTCCCTGAGGACACGGCGGTGCTTAGCCCACGAAGGGCATTCTCCCACGTGTGTTCCACCGTGTCCTCAGGGCGGTCCTCGCAGTGATGACACCCGGGCGTTTCCTCCCGCCCCATCAGACACAGGTACCTCCCGAAACTGCCATGTCCGGTGAGGACCTGCGTCAGGCGGTAGGTGAGGACGCCGTAGCGTCTCTCAAGCCACTCCTCAAAGAGGGGACTTACCGCTGCGATGGCAGCGAGCCCAGCCTCGGTTGCGACAGTCGTTGCTGCCATTCCGCCATGAGATCGCGCCGGAGCTCATCCCGCCACGCACTTATCTGGCGCGGCAGCGGAGTTTCGCCCCGGCGACGTGCCTCCGCGCGCATGCTGTGCACGCGCGCGAGCACCTTCGCCTCCAGATCCCACGGCGGTAATCCGGCAAGGAGGTTCGCCGACTCCCCAGAGATCGTGCGGTATCCGCGGATCATTCGGATCGCCATGACCCTCTGTGCCATGAGCAGCGTCCGAGCGGGACGCCGCAACAGGTTAGGCGCCCAAACAGGGGCGCCGTAGAGGGCCATGGACCGCACGACCCCGGCGTATAACCTCCGGCAGGAGGCGTTTGGCCCCCCGAGGTTGGGGAGGATGCGTTTAAACGCAGCCCCCGTCCTCTCCAACTTTGGAGCCAAACGTCGGAAGTGTTCTATGAAGTTCCACCGACTGTCGAGGACGAGTCCTAGGTACTTCATCGTCGTCTCGACGCCGATGGTAACTCCTCCCGCCGTTATTTGGGACCCACCCGGAGGTGGCGCGTTCCCGCGGCCATGAAAACACATGGCCTCGGACTTGTGGAGCGCCACCTCGAGTCCCAACTGCCGGATTCTCTCAACGACTGTCGCAACCGCTGTCGCCATTAAGTCGGCCGCCGCCTGGTGTGACCTCCCGTGCGCCAGCACCAGCGTATCGTCGGCGTAGCATATAGTGCTAACGCCGTTCGGGAGGTCGGTGCGCAGCACCCAGTCATAGCCGATGTTCCACAGGAGCGGCCCCAGAACCGAACCCTGTGGAACACCGCGTGACATCTCTCGCCGGTTCCACTCGCCCCGGTGACCGGGGTAGCTGACGGACCTGTCCGTCAGGTAAGCCTCGATTACACGACGGAGGTAGGTAGGCACCCGATGATATCGGAGTGCCTCCAAGATGCAGCTCCAGGGCAGGGAGTTGAAGGCGTTGGCGATGTCCAGAGACACCGCCACTACGACCTTACCCCTGGACACTGCAGTCCCCGTCGTGAGGTCTCTAACGCGCATGATGGCGTCCACCGTGGAGCGCCCTCTGCGGAAGCCGAACTGGCCGTCCGACAAGTCCGGCCCAATGTCCGTCAGGTGCGCGACGAGGCGGTTCGAAATGATTCTTTCGAATACTTTCCCCACCTCGTCGAGCAACACTATGGGCCGGTACGCGGACGGAGAGTCCGCAGGGCGCCCCGTCTTCCGCACGAGGACCAGTTTTCCCGCTTTCCAGAAAGCGGGAACTGGCCTCTCTCCAGACATGCGCTGTAGAGACCAATCAATCGAGGCCCGAGAGCCTCTGAGGCCAGGACCCATGCCTTGCCATGCAGGCCGTCGGGTCCCGGGGCGGTGTTCTTGGCGCCCATCCGGCGCACCGCCGCTCTCAATTCTGCCTCGGTCACCTCTGGGACGATGTCGTCGTCGTCGTCGCTGTAGCCCGCGTCGGGCACCGCAGGGGGCGGAGTCATATACGGAGGGGTGAACCCCCTCCACAGTCGAGGGAACAGGGTGCCAATCACCTCCTCCAAGACTTCTTGCCGGAGACTCTGGGTGAGCGGGGGAGCCCAGGCGCGGAGCTTGTCGCGTACCAAACATATTGGCTAGGAGGAAAAAAAACCTAATACAAAAGGAACAAAATGTGTTTTCATTCAAATAATATTTTACATAATTGTATTCCATTCTTAAACAACAGCGACGTTCGACCCCAAAAAATTCAAATCGAGCACCAGATGACGGTTACACAGTTACATAACGTCCAAAGATGCCCATATGCGTCACCACTGTTCCAATAACCTTTTAGCAGATTCAAAACCAAGGTCCTAACGAATTAATTATTCCATACATGTCCGCGATACGGTCCAGATACCAACTCCGATTGACACTATCTCTGCTGAATGATATTTATACGAATTATCTATTTAAAACCTACGGTTTATCAGTTGAATGGCACCAATCGAGGACTAGATAGCTATGTATCTATTATTTTACGGCTATAGATTATCTTCGTGATTTTTGTAATGAATAAGTATTTTTTCCTCATTGTTCTGTACTTTACTTGGAAGTAAATGATTCATAAGTTATTGAAAATTATAATTAATCAAGGCTGTTAAGTGAGAATAAAGGAATTCATTCAGATACTTTGTTAGGGCACTACCCGCCTTCAACAACTTCTCAGAAATTTTATGTAACCCTTAAGCTAAAATAAGTGATATTAAACGACATTTTGGTTCTCACCAACCTAACAGTACAAGTAAGGGGTTAGTTTAGGTGCCACTTACGTAACTTTACGTTAGGAGATGGTTAAGAGATGGTGATGGTTCGTGGTTTAGTGGTCGTTAAAAGGCCATAAGGATGCTAACGAAACCATAACTCTCTCACAGGGCTGAATCTTATAAAACTATAGTGGAAAATATCAACTGACAATATTTAACAGGTGCTAAAATACCCTGTGAACTAAATCGCACCGAGTCTTTTAACAAATCAATATGCACCGACTTATCAAAATTATGTGCCTAATCTGTACCCACAGTACAGACACAACCGTCATCATTGCTAAGCCAGTAATTCTTTAAAAAACGACAACGTAGTAAATAAATGATTAAATGACGACAATAATTTAAGAGCACGTTACTGTATGACACATACATTGTTAAT